CCGGACGCTCGCCCCGGGCCAGATGGCGTCGGGGGCGCGCGGGTCCACGGGGTGCAGCCGGCCGGGCCGGGGCCGTGGGGCCCGCGCTGCCCGGGACGCGGCGTGAGGCGGCAGCCGAGGAGCCCGGAGCGCGGCCCGCCGAGCGGGTGAGTGAGCGGGCGGGAGGGTGGACGGGCGGGAGGACGGCGGCCCTTCCGGGACCGGGGGAGCCCGCAGTGACGGGCAACCGTGCGCGCGGCCTGCTGTCCCGCTGTCGGGCCCTCGGGATGCCGCGTGGGAGAACCGTGTGAGGCGCGGGATCCCCGCCCCGGGTATCGCTTAGTGACCATCCCCTCCCGGTTCGGACTAGTCATGCTGATTCCTAAATTCCTCGGTTGTGGAGGACCCCCTCCTCCCCTCCCCCAGAGACAAGTGTCACAGCAGGTCAAGGGGCAGGTGTGTTTGCAGTGCGGGGCTTGTCCCAGGAGACCCCCACTCTCTGGAGCTGGCAGGAAGCGCAGGGCAGAGCCATGGTCTGGGTTTCTCCTGCATCCATACAGCCTTGCAGTCTTGCCAGACAGGGTGGGCATTGGAGCCTAAGGGTGGGGTGTGGCCGGCCCCTTTCTATCCCAAAGCTTCCTTTCCAGATGTCCTGAGAGATCCTAGATTCTTAAGGTCGGGACAGGGTGGGGACTTCCTCTTCCACTGACCCCCACGTTCTTTCCTATCGTTGAAAAGACCGATGGGGGGCTAGCCAGAGGGAAACTTAAAAATGTCCCCTTTCCCCAATGTATACAACCACCATCTCCCTCATCCTAAATGCTCAGCCTAAGTAAAAATTCTGTACAAATGCCATTCGAAGGCAAGGCCTCTAGCTTCATGCCCCTTTAATGTACCCTTCTTGCATCTGCCTTGAAATCCCGGGATTCCTCCCTTTATTCCCTTCTATATCTCAGAAACTCTTAGGCCTACCTTCCTCCCAAAACTCAATTCTTCAAGAGACCATAAGCAGCATCCTTTGTCTACTGCCAGTTTCTCACCTTTGCCCCATCTGAGAGTCACCCCAACTGATAGGGTAGCCCGTCCCTCAAAAAGTAAATGTATGGCCGCAGGCACCCAGCCCTGGGCTCCTGTCCCTGCTTTGAACCCCCTACAGCACTTTTGTTACTGTGGCTCTTATCGCTGTCTGCCTTATAGATACTTTTGTGCCTAGCTTATCTCCCGGGCTGGCTCTGATGCTCCCAGGTGGAGTTTGATTCACATACGGTCTCCCACTGAGGTCGGCCCCACTGTGTGCAGCCAGCATCCACGGGAGCAGAATTTCTTCCGACACTGGCCTCCCTGACCTTTCCTTGTTTGGCTTCTGGACTGCTGTGGTCAAATTCTTTTCTCTTGTAAAGAAACCGTGTTCTGGGGTTGTAATGGATGCCCAGACCACTCTCACTGCAGAGAAACACAGTGACTTGGAAGGGCTGCTCTCAGAGGGAGTGACTTTGCCAAATGACTGGGACAGCACATTCCCTGCTGTGGAGATGACCAAGGCCTGGCTAGGTCGGTAGGTGGTGAATGTTGGCTGGGCAGCTGGCTTTCCCCTTCCCTTCTCTGCCTGTGAATACTTGAGAGGCTCAGGGGAGAGAATGGAAGAGTCCAGAGGTCTGGATTCCATGCTTGCCTTTCCCTAAACTTGCTGTGTGAGTTAAAGAGTTGAGTGGCTTTTCTTGGTCTTGGTTGTTTCTTATAGAATCGAAAACTCCCTGTTTCTTTATCCCTGCTTATTTCCAGTTGTCTCCCTTT